GCTAGAAATAACAGTTGCCTTGGAACATTTCATCACAGAGCATCAGAACTGAACTGTTGATTTAATATGATTTCCGTGCAATTTAAATAAACATAACTTTTTGTTAACGACATACGGTGCTCAGCTGCAGCATAAATGCAATAGTTATCACATTTATTATTACTAGTTCTTTCATTTTTTAACATGTCTTTTATTAACAATCTGAAGATTGTGTGTAGCTTTTGTGCGCGTGGCCTGAAACATTTTCAACGGATGCATAAAAACTGATCTAAAAAAGCAGGCTCTAATAAAAGGCAGGATAAGGACACTCCACTGCAATGCAATTATTCGTACCAATTATAGACACTAGATTTGCACCACAAATATTGCACGCACACTGGGTATTATGAGGGGCTCGGCAAAGTGCCAGTAATGCCTGTAATAAACTGGGTCATCTCCTATAAGAATGTTGTTATTACACTTGAGAGGTCAGGGGATAAGCAGGGTTTAACCCTGCGCTCGGCAGAACTGCTGATTCAATTTGCTCGCGAGGATTGCTTTTCGTTGTGAGTTGATAGTCTGTTTTCTGCTGGAAGAAGCTTCGCTCTGCTTTTCACATTATGGACAACAGAAGTGGTAAATGTAAAGAATTCAGCAAACAGTTAATAATGCTGAAGATGAAGCCAAGCCTCGAATCAGCGAGCAGTGGATCTGAAGAGAGGAAATGAGAATTGCGTTCATAATAGTTGTAATGAAGTAAAAATATGAACTGAATTACTGGCTTGTCTTCCACTATGGAAAGTATTGTCCTAAATATGAAGCTTTTCAATATTATCTTTTGATATTTTTTTCCTATGCTAACTGATGCATAACCGTCAATGTTACGATATTTGTAAGACTGTTTTTTTTCTCGTTTCCTCAGTTCCTCTGATGATACTAAGCATGAGAAAGTTATTAACTAAATTGGCGGAAGTGTAGTTATATGTTCAGTGTCGAAATTCTACTCTTTATTCTCTCACAAAGGACACTGGCTTTTGTAAAAGCGTTTTGTAATTTTTTGAGCAGCTTGTAGTGCAGGAATCAAACGAACGTGTAATCTTTGTCAAGGGGATGATCCTCTAATTGAATGTAGTTTGTGATTTCTCTAAGAAATTAATGAACAGGCACATGGCACCGTCAGTTCTACAGAGGTAGTTAGCCTGGATGTAAATTTTGGACAAGGTGAAGCGTTACTTGCACCTAGCGAGCGTAAGGCTTGAGGCTGACCCCGTTAGAGGCGGTGCAGTGGGAGCAGCGAAGTGCGCGATCTTCCTTCGCCCTCTGAGGTAGCGTGCAGCGGCTCACACTCGCTGTGCGTGAGCGTGCAGGCAGGCGGCTCCCGCGGCTCACGTCACGTGCAGCAAGCTGCTACCCTCTTAGCAACGTCTTTGTGAATCGGAGCCCTTAAATGTCGAGAATCTTTCTTTTGGGGCACTGGTAAAATTTCAAGTCCTGTAACTTGATAGGTTCTGTCTTCCGTCGCTGCAAATACCGACCGGCTGTATCGCAGTCACCTCTTACGCTGCCAGAACGTACCTTCCTGAAGGCAGCGCTTTCCGCTTTTCAGGGGCTCAACGCCTACCTGCTTGGCTGCGTTCAGTAGGTTACTCAGTGCTGATCTCGGTGGAAAAAAACGGCAAAAATGAAATACTCCAAAGTAGGAAAGTTCAAGAGGGATGAGAAGTCCTATTTGGAGAACACGCTGAGTTTGCTAGGGTGGATTGAGCCAGGCATCTCGGTAAGGCTGCTCTCCTCAACCCTGAGGGGGACTTGACTTTTCATACCATCTTCTATTTACGTGCGCTTGTTTTTCCCCTCAGTTTTGTTCCTGCTTTCTGGACTCTTTCATGTGGTATTCATTGTGGGTTTTTTGTTTTTTCTTTTGTATCAGTTGACTGAAAAAACTTGTTCTTCATTTCCTTCTCTGACCTGCGATCGGTATCAGCGTGATTCATGTGCTGCTGCATGAGCTCTTCAGGAGCAAGTGAAAGCATAAAGTACCTGGAGTGGCAGTAACTGCAACAGAACAAAAAAGCAAAAATACATATTGCCATGTGAAGCACTAGGGATTGTTTTTGACAAGGAGGTAAAACAAAAACTTTACGTTCTTTATTTTTTCCCTCTCCACTTCCACAGTAAGTGGCTGCAAAAGACTTCTTTGGGAATGTAGCTACAGGAGAGTTCCTGCAACTTCAAACATCTAGTTTGATCTAAGCTGTTGAGACTGTCTCTACAGCCCTGGTCTTGTAGCAAAATTACATAGCAGTTGTGAGGTGAAAACCATCGAATAGTGATTGATCGAATAAGAATTTTATTAAAGTATTCGTAGTAGATCATCAGAATTAACACCCATCCCCCTAAAATGCAAAAGATATGGCACTGCTTTTTTAAGTACATTTTTGGAGGCCAGGTGGTTTGGCTAAACACTGCTTTCTCCACTTCAAATCCTTGTACTGAGTCAGTAAACGCTGAGCAGCCTCTGCGTCCTTCCCGCAGTACCATCCCTTTGGTCACTCTATCCCTAGTGAGTTATTGCGCGTCTTTTGTCTAACGTGGGATCCGTTTGCGTATCACAAATAGAAAGCTCTTCTTAGCGAGTATTCTTGCCCTGTTTCCTCTCAATAGAAGAAGCATTTTCTTAGGTAACTGGAAAATCACGTGGCAAGCAGAAATCTGAACGTCCTCCAGCATCAGCTCTACTTTCTTTGGGTTTTGTTCTAATTTGGCCACGGCAACAAACTAGGTGAGAGAAGACGATGCTAACGGGGGTTACTGCCGTACATTTGTGGTAATATTAGGCAGCCTGGCTTTTGCTCCTCTCATTTCACCCGTCTGCTGGGGAGGGGGAATTTCCACGGCATGGTCCAGGGGGTTTCTTTAAGCTGTGCCTATAAAATATGAAGAAATTTTCTATTTTATTCTCCTGATAAGTGCAGATCGCAGCAGGCTGCGTGAGCGGTGGCTTGTTGCAGCAGGGTTGTCAGTGTGAACTCTCCAGAACCAACAGCGAATGTTACTTATTTATGTATGTTTGAAAAATGCTCAGTGTACTTTAGAAGGAGAAGTCGCCCTGAGCATTGAGGAAAGCGGGATAGGGCAGAGTGACTTGTTTCTCGGTGTAGTTTGAGTGTTGCTATCACACTTTTTTCTGCCTTCCCTTTCCTCAGCGTTTGGCTGCCGCTCCCCGACTGCAGAGCAAGAGCTCATCCCATCGCTTTCAGAAGTTGCAGTCTATTTTGCCAACAGCTATAAAAGGAGATACGGCTGCAACGATTCAGGAGATAACTATACTTTTGTTCTTTGAAAATGGCTCGTAGGCAGGAGGAGCTCAGCTCAGGCATACAGGGGAAAACTGGCATCTGCTGCGGGTGAATGAGCACCAGGGATTTAGCTTTGCTCAGCAGAGTGCTCTTGAGGTGAAGCCCACTTACTGCACTCCGCTTCTCATCCTAGAGCAGCCTCCAAACGTGCCAACTGGATTCCTTGTAGACTAAAATAGCCTGCAGCGTGCCGTCTGGGAGTGCATCTCGTGTGCCGCGGCTGCTGATAGCTGCTTGGTGTGCAGGACCGGAGGAGAGCCGCTCCCGGGCAGCGTGCGTGGCGCTCTCCGCACCACCGGCCTCGCTCCGCAGGGAGCTGCCGGGGGC